TGCTGTTCCAGCACTCACCAGCCATCCCCTCCCCAATGCCAGCGATACAACTTAATGGTGTAACATTAGAAAATGTTGACCATTTCCGCTACCTTGGCAGCCACCTCTCCACCAAAGTCAACATCGACGCCGAAATACAACACCGCCTGAGCTCTGCGAGTGCAGCATTTTCCCGAATGAAGCAGAGAGTGTTTGAGGATCGGGACATCCGTAGGGATACCAAGGTGCTTGTCTATAAAGCTATTGTCCTCCCAACCCTGCTATATGCCTGCGAAACATGGACTATCTACAGACGTCACATGCAACTCCTGGAACGATTCCATCAGCGCTGCCTCCAGAAAATCCTGCAAATCTCTTGGGAAGACAAGCGGACAAACGTCAGTTTGCTGGAAGAAGCAAAGACCACCAGCATTGAAGCGATGGTCCTCCAACATCCGGCCACGTTGTCCTGGATGCCTTTGTGATATAGGTATGGGGTGGGGGGAGGGGGGGGGGGGCCGGGGGGGGGGTGGAAGGTGGAAAGTTGGGTGTGGGGGGGGGGAGGGAGGGGAGATTTTTAGGGGGGGGGGGGAGGGGTGGACCGGCCATGTTGTCCGGATGCCCGACCACCGTCTCCCAAAGCAGTTGCTCTACTCCGAACTCAAGAACGGAAAACGGAATGTTGGAGGACAGGAAAAGAGATTTAAAGATGGGCTCAAAGCCAACCTTAAAACTCTGGCATAGACACTGAGAACTGGGAAGCCCTGGCCCTTGAGCGCTCCAGCTGGAGGTCAGCTGTGACCAGCAGTGCTGCAGAATTCGAGGAGGCACGAGTGGAGGGTGAAAGAGAGAAACGTGCCAGGAGGAAGGCGTCAAGCCAACCCCGACCGGGACCGCCTTCCACCTGGAAACCAGTGCCTTCACTGTGGGAGAAGATGCGGGTCAAGAATAGGGCTCCACAGCCACCTACGAACCCACAAGGAAATGCATAATATTATTTAAACTTATATGCCACCACTCCCCTGGGGCTCGGAGTGGCTTACAAGAATAGCTAAAATCTAACAAAATTTAAAAGCAATTTAAAACAATTTAAAAACAGCAATATCAAACATTAAAAGCCTGTCGAAACAGGTATGTCTTACATGCCCTGCGGAAAGCTGGTAAGTCCCATAAGGCACGGACCTTAGGTGGCAGAGTATTCCAGAGTGATGTATAAAATATAAAATATAAAGTGATGTATAAAATATAAAATATGAAGCAACCGTTATCTATGTATCAATGTAGAAGTGTGAAGTTGTTTCAATAATTAAATCCATTATAACACTGAATTACACTATGCATATATTATATACAGTAAGAGTTGCACACCAGGGCTGGAGTAGGCACCTTTGAACCCCTAAACATGTTCTTTAATAATCAAAGCAATTTATTTAAGATTAATATAACAATAGTCAAAAAGGTAAAAAGCATTCAAATAGAGAAAAGGTGATGTCCACAAAATCAGCAAATAATCCAAATCCAAGTTAGGAGACAAATCAGTTCCAAAAATCCAAGAAGCAAATCCATAGGGAGAAAGTCTTTCTTTTCCAAAGGTCCCTTGAACAAACAAGAGCAAACTTGAATCAAATAATCTAAATGCAGTAGCTTGAAATCACGAACACCAGCTTACAAAAATCTCAGCATGAGCATGAATACAGGGCAAGATTATACATGATTCTCCGCATGAACAAGCAAGCATGAAGCAGGCATGAAAACCAAACATTGGACTTAACTGAAGAGTACAGATTCACGGGTCCTATATTTATTCAGAAAGCCATGGCAAAAGCATTCCCTTTCCCTTGGGAAACCTCTCCCTGACCCCTTTTTTCTCTTAATCTTTCAGACCGTCTTCTACCCACTTTCCAGGTGGCGATGTTGATTGATTTGACTTCTCCTATCAAAAAGTGTCCGGTCCTCCCTCAGCATGCCAATTAGTACATTCCTTTCACTATCACTATTTGGCCTTGGCCGTTCAACCTTTTCCTCTGCCTCTTTTCTGTTGGCATCTTTGCCTTGGGAACCAACGATCCCAGAATCCTCTAGTTCACTCTGGCTCATTGTACAGTCTTGACCATCATTTCTAAACATAAATCCCTGAGAGTCAGCAGAAACTTGGTCATTTCACTCAGACGTTGGAACCTCTGCAGACTCCTGATCATTCTCCTTTGAATCCTGTGACAGAGAGACAATCACAGGCTGAACCCCGACAATAAGATTATTATTGTATCAACACCATGGGCAAAATCTATATAAACATCAATTATTCAATCAAGAAAAACATCCATAATAAACATTAAACAATAAGTTTTCATTCACAATATGTTATGACTTCTCAACAGTTCCTCTTCATCACTTCTTTGGAATGTTATTAAACAAAAGTTCAGATTATGTTTCTTCTGTAGAATGTTAGGCAATTAAAGTTCAGTCCCATGTAGATACAAGTTGTTGTAGGAGTTCTTGACAAATACGTGATGATAGCAAGTGTAGAGATTCTTTTGATGTATGTGATGATAGCAATTACAAGGGTTCCCGGTATTATTCACCTTGTTTGAGGAAACTTCCCTTCCTCAGGTTGCTATTTCATCAATTTAAGTTGATCTTAAACAAAAGATTAAAAAGGACAACAACAATAGATATGCTCTAATAACACCCAGTTACAGTAACAACAATCACTGTGTGGCATTAAAACACTTATTACTTTCTCCTGAGGAGTGAATGGCTTTGCTCAAAGACTTTCAATAGCCGTGAGTCTGCAGATATTTCAAGTGCAAGCAAAAACCCACGAAGAAGCCTCCCTTTATAAAGATGCAGGTCAATTGCAGTAAACAAGAGAGATATAATCCATCATTTAACCCACCCGGGGAAACGGTATGTAACCTGAATATCCAAAAGGCCTCTCTCTGAAGTAAAATTCTTTGTAAGTCTTGGAGGGGTTGTGTGGTTACCTTTCTTAAAAAGCGCAAAATCTGAAGCTAGTGTATGAGTGGGATTTCTCACTGAAATGGGAATAAAGAGTAGAGTCAATTGGTTATTTCTAATGCAGGATCTATGTTCAAGAATTCTAATTTTTAAAGGTCTGGAGGTCATGCCTACATATAGCAGTGAACATGGACATTGTATGACATACATCACTTTCTCTGTATTGCAGTTGGTGAAACTACAAAGTTGTATGTTGAGTTGCATTGTGGGATGTGAGAAGTGTTTTAAGAGATTGAGTGCAATATGCACAATGCCCGCAACTTGTTTGGCCCCTAAGATTAGATTTGCTGATAGTATAGGGGGTTGTGAAGTCAGATCTGATCGTCATATCCCTAAGATTCTGGGTTCGTTTGTTGGCTATCATTGGTACATTCTTGCATCCTGGAGTGTCACTGACCAAGTGCCAGTGCTTTCTAATTATTTTCCTGATGTGTGGAAAATATGTGGTTAACCTAAGTGGCCATATAATACGGTCATTAGGTTTCCTCACCATATTGCTTAGAAAATCATTTCTATCTATGTACTTAACTTTTCTAATAGCAGTATTGATGATACTTGTAGGGTGCCCTTTTTATTTATTTATTTATTTATTGCATTTCTATACCGCTTTTCTTACCCGTAGGGGGACTCAAAGCAGTGTACAGAATAATAATTGGGAAATTTCAATGCCTCACATACTAATAAAACCAATACATTACATATCAAAAACAATAACATATAACTGTAACTTAAAATCATTAAAATTGTCAGACATGATTGTTTGCCAGTTTGTGTAGTTTTCTTTGAATTGTTTCTCAAAAGTAATGACCTCTGGTGTGATGTCCTCGGGGGCAGTGGTGTTTCGTTTTAATCTCATAAGTGTGGCATAGGGTAAGTTTGTTTCTTAACTATGATGGTGATATTTATTTATCATATCAAGTGTGAACCAAACATTTGTATTGCATTAAAAAAACAAGCAAGCAAAGAAAAAATAAACAAAGCACAAAGTTTGCAAATTTGGCATTCTATTAAATGCCCTTTGATCAGTAGCTGGTCACTTGGGGGAACATGAGAGAAGGCTCCCCACAGGATTGCAAGACATCTGGGTGTCCGCTGGGCAACATCTTTGTAGACAGTTAATTATCTCATTCCAGAAGCAACTTGCAGCATGATGGTGGTACCTGTTGTAATGCATGATGGGATTTTTATCCGTGGGTTTTCTTATTGCCTTTCTTACATACCATGACATCTAGAAAGTTTATATTTGTATGGCTATGGTTACCAGTGAATTTGATGTTATCATATATTGTGTTAAGCCAGTATTAAAGAAAATTGCGGATTCATCTGATTTTCAAATTTTAAAAAATCATCGATAAACCTGCCATAGTATAGAATATCTGGCAAAAATTGTTTTTTGTGTCATTTAGGATGTGGGTTTCTTCCAAATTTGAAATAAAAAGATTTGCTACTGAAGGTGTTGTAGTAGAGACTGTGAGTAATGTTACAAATAGTAGTATGGGTGCCAGAAGGGGAAAAAGGTTTACTCGGGAGCAGGAATCTGATGATGAGCAGCAGAGAAAGAGGATCCAGGACATACTTACAGCACCTACAGATGAGTTGTTTGAGGGATTCTTTGGGGATGATGGGTCAATGAGTGCAGGAGAAGAAGGAGACACCATGGATTGGACTAAGATAAGAGAAGTGCAAGCTATTTGTGAGGAGCCAACAACTAGTGATGCTTTATGGGGTTCTCTGGGGGTGAAGACTGGCAATCAGGGGATCCAACTGAGTCTTGGGGGACCTAAGTCTTGACAGGAGATGGAGGAATTGGAGGGAAGGACAAGGGAATTCATGTGAAGAGCTGGGAGCAGCTGTGGGGGATAATGATGGGGCGGTGGTCAATTCATCTTCTGATGATTTGTAAAAAAAGTGGGTTGAGGGTGATGGGTCCTTGCAGAAGGCAAGGTGTTGATGAGCGTTTGTGTGTTGGGTGCTGTGTATTGGAAAAGATTCTTGTAGACCCTGGACTTCGGCTGACGACGCTTCTCTTCCTGCGGCCCCTCCTTTTTCGTTAACCGGATGTGTACTATGCCTTTTTGTTGCGCCTCAGAGCGCTTTGTTTGATTCGTTTTTTATCCAGTTAACCTGGATTATATTTCTTTTAACCTTTTGGACCAAGTCTGGGTTGTTTCTTGAGTTTTGACCAGTGACACTACATTTAAGTACTTCTGCATCCTTTTTCCTTTGTTTTAATAAACTCTGTTTTGAAACCACTTTGAGTCTGGCCCTTTAAGGTGTCTGTGATTCCAACAGAAGGGGCCAAAGGACTTCCCATCACGACAACAAAAATCTGTAGATAATATTGAGTTTTAAATCTGAAAAAATATATATTCCAGGACAATGTCTAATAGATCCATTTAAAAAAATGAGAAGGTGATGTTATATCCAGAGTCATTAAGATGGACTGGAGGTATGGTAAGGTCCTCTATGACCTTTATGAAATGTTTAGTATCTTTAATATCTTTAAGACTGCCTGTGTGAGGGGTACAAATGGTTGTAAATAATAATCCAAAAACTGCATTGGGGGTTCCAGGTTGGAGGAAGAGCCCGAGATGTTGATTTGAGATTTTATTTGTTGATTTGAGATGTATCCTAAAGTGAGTCCTTCTGTACATACTGTTCGAATTAAAAAACGTATTTTGTCTGTAGAATACTTAGGAATAGATTTATAGAAAGAAGTGTCTCCTGGGTGTCTCTCTACCTCTTTGATGTAATCTGTTTCGTTTAATAGAACTAAAGATCTAAATATCTCAGCTGTTGCTCCTTTCAGCAAACCTCCACACATCACCCTAGAAGCCTGTGATGGGTTTCTTATGGAGGAGGCTAGGTGAACCCCTTCAGAGCTTGCTGCAATACTGAGAAAAATCCCCTTCTCAGTGAGACCTGCTCCCAGTAGCCATCGACCAAGGCCACACAAACTAGTCCATGGTAGAGAGAGAGAGAGAGAGAGTCAGGTGCCGGCCTTCCTCTTTCCTTCCAATATTTTTTGAAAGAGAGCTCAGAAATTGAAAAGCAGGTCTCTTCTAGCTGTGCATGAGTTCCAATATGTTTAATGTATGCTGAACATTCTCTACAGCTCTTTCCACAATCCGTGCATTTCTATGGCTTCTCTACAATGTAGCTCCTTTGAAAGCAATGTAGATAGTTACTCTGACTGAAACTTTCTCCACATTCTATGCATTTCTATGGCTTCTGTACAGTGTGAGTAATTTGGTGGGTACGCAGATTGTTACTGCGACTGAAGCTCTTTCCACATACCAAGCATTTATAAGGCTTCTCCCCTGTGTGGGCCCTTTGATGGGAACGTAGAGTGCCACTGTGTCTGAAACTCTTTCCACAGTCCATGCAGTTATGTGGCTTCTCCCCTGTGTGGATCCTTTGATGGATACGCAGCCTTGAACTGTGACTGAAGCTCTTTCCACATTCCTTACACTTATGTGGCTTCTCCCCTGTGTGGGTCCTTTGATGGGAACGTAGACTGTCACTGCGAATGAATCTTTCTCCACAGTCCATGCATTTATAAGGCTTCTCCCCTGTGTGGGTCCTTTGATGAGAACGTAGAGTGCCACTCTGACTGAAGCTCTTTCCACATTCCATGCATTTATGTGGCTTTTCCCCTGTGTGGGTCCTTTGATGGGAACGTAGAGTGCCACTCTCACTGAAGCTTTCTCCACAGTAAATGCATTTATGTGGCTTCTCCCCGGAATGCTTCCTTTGATGGGAACGTAGACTGTCACTGCGAATGAAGCTTTCTCCACATTCCATGCATTTATGTGGCTTCTCCCCTGTGTGGGTCCTTTGATGGGAACGTAGAGTGCCACTCTGATTGAAGCTCTTTCCACATTCCATGCATTTATGTGGCTTTTCCCCTGTGTGGGTCCTTTGATGGGAACGTAGAGTGTAACTCTCACTGAAGCTTTCTCCACAGTACATGCATTTATGTGGCTTCTCCCCTGTGTGCTTCCTTTGATGGGAACGTAGATTGTCACTGCGAATGAAGCTTTCTCCACATTCCATGCATTTATATGGCTTCTCCCCTGTGTGCTTCCTTTGATGGGAATGTAGATTGCTACTCTGACTGAAGCTTTTTGCACACTCCATGCATTTATATGGCTTCTCCCCTGTGTGGGTCCTTTCATGGGAACGCAGATTTCCAATCGTACGGAAGCTTTCTCCACATTCTATGCATTTATATGGCTTCTCCCCTGTGTGGGTCCTTTGATGGGTATGCAGAGTGTCATTGCGACTGAAGCTTTCTCCACATTCCATACATTTATATGGCTTCTCTCCTGTGTGGGTCCTTTGATGGGAACGTAGATTTCCACTCGTACGGAAACTTTCTCCACATTCCATGCATTTATATGGTTTCTCCCCTGTGTGGGTCCGTTCATGTACAGTAAGAGAACTTTTCTTTTCAAATTGTTTCCCACATTCCATACACTGATGTAACTTCTCCCCTGTGTCTGATCTAGGACACAGAGATAGAGGACTTGCCATTCTTTTTCATTTATAATTCAAATATTATGCCAGAGTTTCACAGATATAACCTCTTGGACAGCACAGTTTTTGTATTGCGTTAGCCTTCTCGCTTTCCCAAGCCTCTCTTTTTACAGCACAATCTTATTCCCCCCCCCCTTTAAATTGCACAAGTATGTAGCTTGAAATATATATTTCTACTGCTTATTTTTTTCATGTTGTCATTGCTGTGTATCTTGAAGTCGCTTTGGACTTACAGCACTCCTCGGGCAAAACTCTCACAAGGTGTTCTTCGCAGAACTTGTTCAGAAGTTACCTGTCAGACAAATGAGAGGGAAATCTCCTCAGGAGTTGATCGTAGAAACATGAACATGAAGAACAAGTCTAGTGCTGTAGCAAACCCAGGGGAAGAAGGAAGGTGTCCATTGCCTGGTGACAAATGAACGATCCCCCCTCAGGTACAAAGGGGATGGTGCCCAAAGATTCTCTGTGTGCGATTTCTTACACTGCCAGGTGTTCAGGGAGGGGCCTTTATAATTCTCAGCCAGGGGGGTCCTGGGCCTCTCTCAACTACAAACTCTAGAATCCTGCAGGAAACAGACCCAGATTTTAAAGGGGAAGCACGCTCTTCTCCTCCTTGGAGGGGCAGGCATTAACTTTTCTGAGGCTGCAGGGATTCTTCCTCTGCGTGGATCTTTGAGCCTTCTCCTTTTGAGTCCACCTTCCCCTCCTTTCTTTGCAGGCCCCTCTGCCCTCCTCTTCCTTCCTCCAGAAGGCATTGATATCCTTCCTGCCCGTCCTTTGCTCATGAATGGGGAGCAGTGGATGTGTTGCATCCACCCCAGGCTTCACGGATTATCTCCAGCTCCAAAGTGTGATGTGTTTTGCAAAATGAGTTTCTTTAAAAATCAGCTTGTGTTCCCAAAACATAATTGTTTTTGTTTTAATAATTTAAACTTTTCTGAGTAATGGTTCATGGGTTGTAATTTTTTTCAAAGGAAAGGCATGATAATGCAGACCTGGGGACTGGAATTGCATCAGCCTCTGCACCAGGTGGGCTTTGAAGAGGAGGGCAGCACATCATGGGGAGATCACAGAAGAGAAGGCCCTCTTAGTTTCCATGGGTGCTCATATTTGTACGGACTTCATTTCCATGTAACACTGCTTTTATCTGCACTCTCCATTTTTATACATCCTTTTCTTAAAACGTTGGGGGAGGGAAAAATAAGGGGGAAGATGGGTGACCTACGGTCTCTCCCAATCTAGTCACAAATAAAGCTAATATACGATTCAAACTCTACATCTCTCTATAGCAGTGTTTCTCAGCCTTCCTAATGCCATGACCCCTTAATACAGTTCCTCATGTTATGATGACCCCCAACCATAAAATTGTTTTCATTACCACTTCACAACTGTAATTTTGCTCCTGTTATGAATCGTCATGTAAATATCTGATATGCAGGATGTATTTTCATTCACTGAACCAAATTTGGCACAAATACCTGATGCACCCACATTTGAATACTGGTGGGGTTGGGGAGGGATTGATTTTGCATTTGGGAGTTGTAGCTTCTGGGATTTATGGTTCACCTACAATCAAAGAGCATTCTGAACTCCACCAACGATGGAATTGAAACTTGGGACACAGAACTCCCATGACCAACAAAAAATACTGGAAGGTTTGGTGGCAGTGACTTTGAGTTTTGGAGTTGTAGTTCATCTACATCCCAAGAGCATTGTAGACTCAAAACAATGATGGATTTGGACCAAGCTTGGCATGAATACTCAATATGTGCAAATGTGAATTCTGGTGGAGTTTGGGGAAAATAGAGTTGACATTTGGGTGTTGTAGTTTGTGACGGCGCGAGTGGCGCCACCTATGTATAGAACTGTTAGTTGCAAGATTTAAACTGTTGTATTATGCTTAATCCTGCCCCTTTTACCATGTTTATGTACAGTTGTATGGATTGGTTGCTTGTAGCTGTCAATCAGTACTGTTTGGCTCCACCTCTTCCTGCAAGAGGGGAGAACTTCCTTTTCTTTTCATTCTGCCTTCAGAGTTCTACCAGATGGACATGAGTAAGAGACCTGACTCTAAAGGACCCTGATTTAAGTTACCTCTTAGCACCAGTTCTGAGGGTTTTTACCCCAGGGACTCATGCTTTATGTCCAGATCATCCTGGACAATTATTGAGGAGGCCCAGGTGCCTTCAAGCCGGTTCTTTTGGCACCAGAGGAAGATTCTGAATCTTCAACATAGGCCATTTGAACGAGGGTTGTGGTTTGCTCCGGCATTCACAGCCATTGAGGAAAGAGGAAACTTGGTGAGGATTCTCAGCTTCTTCAAACCCCTTGGACCCAGGCTAATTGAGACTGTAACGTATATTTTCCTTCACCCTTCTGAAGTTTCCAGCTTATTGCTTTAAAGAAATGACTTTGTTATCAATAAAACTTATTTTGAGCTATTTACAGCGTTTTGGGTTTTTGGGAGTTCCAGTTTCCTATAGGAGGGCAAGAAGCAATCCCCTGGGGGAAAGATGCCACGTCCATCCCTCCTTTATTGAGCCCCCAGGCGCAACGGCACATAGTTGCTGGAATTTATAGTTCACATACAATCAAAGAGCATTCTGAACTCCACCAACAATGGAATTGAACCAAACTTGGCACACAGAACCCCCATGACCAATAGAAAATACTGTGTTTTCTGATGGTCTTTGGTGACCCCTCTGATACCCCCTCGCGACCCCTCTAGGGGTCCCGACCCCCAGGTTGAGGAACACTGCTCTATAGGAATGCTTTTCTCATATTACAATTATAACTTCTTTTTAAATCCTTACTCCAGAAATCTTTTTCTCACCTCTTATCTCCCTTAACAATACTTTAAAAACTTGTATCTATAGAAGAGGTGAGAACAGACATCCCTGCGTGATCCCTTTTTGAATTTCACATGGTTTGCTTAGGCTTCCATTTGCAATCACTTGTGCCGTCTGTCTGGTGCATTGGTTCCCAACCTTTTTTTGGCCAGGGACCACTTTGACTAGGGACCACTCTCCAACATTAGTACCAAAAGGGTTACAAATCGGTTTTTGGTCAACATTAGATTCGGTTTCGTTTTTTGGGGTGCTGATTGAGAAAATTGCATTGGATAGAACACATCACCTGTAGCTTCTGATACAGAACATATGCCACCCAGTAGTCACCATCTGCTCGCCCATAGAATACCGTATTTAATAATCAGTTGTGGTCTATCCAATGCAATTTTCTGAATCAGCACCCCAAACAACCCCAGGAACAGATGTAAAAACAAAGACACCAAGAATTTTTTTTTTGGTCTGGCTGTGTTATTATTTATTTATTATTATTTAATTATTATTATTCAAACTTATATGCCGCCACTCCCCTAGGGCTCAGAGCGGCTTACAAGAACAAACTAGAATCTAACACAATTTAAAAACAGCAATATCAAAGATCAAAAACCTGCCGAAACAGGTATGTCTTACAAGCACTGCAGAAAGCTGATAAGTCCTGTAAGGCACGGACTTCAGGTGGCAGAGTATTCCAGAGCGATGGTGCCACTGCTGTGAAGGCTCTGCGTCTAGTTGCTGTTAGACGCAAGGTCTTAAAACTGGGAACTCCCAATAAATCTTGGTCCTCAGAACGGAGGGATCTCTGGGTTTGGTAGGGGGTGAGGCGGTCCCTCAGGTACATCGGCCCCAGACCATGCAAGGCCTTAAAGGTGAGTACCGTAACTTTAAAAGTGATCCGGTGCTCAATTGGTAAGCAATGCAGCTGCAGTCAGATTGGTGTTATGTGGCATCTCATCGGAATTCCCGCAAGAAGCCGAGCAGCTGCATTTTTTATCAACTTGAGCTTCCGGATCACCAGCAAAAATAGGCCAATGTAGAGGGCGTTACAGTAGTCCAGTCTTGAGATGACCGTGGCCTGGATCACCGTACCTAGGTCGTCCCTGGACAGGGAGGGGGGCCAGCCGTCTAGCCTGCTGCAGATGAAAAAAAGGCAGTTCTGCTAACGGCAGAGACCTGGGCCTCCATCCTCAGCAGAAGGTCCAAAAGGACTCCCAGACTCTTTACCAATGATGACGGGCATAACGCCTCACCATCCAGGATAGGCAGCTGGATGTCCCCACTGCCCGGTTGACCCAACCATAGGATCTCTGTCTTTGCCGGATGGCACGCAGCCATCCAGTAATGGCCTCAAGGCACTGATGGAAACAATCGGGTACAGAGTCCGGTCGGCCTTCCATCTTCAGCACCAGCTGAGTGTCATCGGCATACTGATAATACTCAAGCCCAAAACCTCAAACCAGCTGAGTAAGTGGTCGCATATAGATGTTAAATAACAGAGGGGAGAGGATGGCCCCCTGAGGAACCCCACAAGAGAGAGAGAGGGGACCTCTCAYAGACCAGGCCTCCCCTCTCCACTCGCTCTCCACGGTTGTGAAGAAAGGAGGGGGYAAAAACTTCCGGTAGCGGCAGCATGGRGGAGCTTCASCWCGGGTTGCTGAAGCTCCGAGCTCGGCATCSTCTTTTCCGCATCAACCCTTGGTAGAGRGGGGGTCTTTCACCCCCAGCTCCCCCCAACCCGGCAGCGAGAAGCGGGTGGGCGCTAGTAACTCAACCGGCYAACGGGACAATTGCATCAGAGGGTCTCCCTCCCCGTTCGAGCTACRGGCGAGTTGTGCAGGGTTCGGAAAAGTTACCTGGCTAAAAGCCGGGAACAGTCCGTTTGCCGCTATTTTAAAGATAAAGAAGAAGAAGAAAGGAAGAAGAAATTGAGCTTGAAGGAAAAAAGGGAACCCGGCGTGGTAAGAAGGCTATAAAATGTATGACTCTTGGATCTACAACCTAATGGATTTACATTACAATCGTAATGCACTATAGTATTACTTCTGGCTGTATGAATTGAGACTCTGATGATTGCCTGAGTACAAGCGTCAACTTAATTTAATTATGTCCGCAAAGCCAATGACTGGCAGCTAAAGTACTAAAAAAAAGAAGAAATGTTGCTGACCTTCACAGAATTGACAAGATATACAGATGTAATATAAAGACTATGAATCACTAATCATAAGTGGAGTTGACTTTTGACTGTTGATTATAATTGTGTTGATTATGTTGACTACGAATGTCGAATGTAGACTGGGGGAATGTATAATTGACTTTTCGGAGGAAATGCAGCGCTACCTAATTAAGCTGAGTTAAGCTCTACAACACAGCTGTAACTAGGCCCACGCTGGCCAAGGCCTGATCAACATAAATAATTAAAGACCAGATTTCAAAACAGCCGAGAACGAAG